TCGAACAACGCAATGGCAATAATCTAAATATCTCATCATAAATCAAACAGTAATAGCATTCTGCATATTCAGTCACTTTTTTGCATGCCTATCAAATTAAATGAGTTAAATGTCTTAACCAGTTGCTGATTTCAGAAGGATTTATCACGCTCACCTCAATCTTATTATTAGCAGTATACTTTCTCCATTAAATGTAAGTATATATGCATTATTATGTTGTCGTTCAAATTAAGCCGTGGAATTATTAACAGCTAGGCAGTGTTAAAGTTACATTAAATCCGGAATCAGAATCACATGGAATCTGGTGTATGTATGTATGAGTGTTCGCATGTACATATGTACGTATTTAGGATTAGTGTGTGGCGTAATAAACCAATTAATTTCGTTCACTCTTGGCGTCGCTGCGCTGAGTTAAGCAAGTAAATGAGAGAAATATTTGAACAAGTTAATTTCAGCCTGACTCTAGTTCCGTGGATAAGTTTTTCACCAGCTAGTAGACTAAGTGAGTTAGTAGATCCGATTAACATTAACATGCCGTGTGACAAATAGACCCGACACGAGAGCAGACAACTAATTTTCCAAAACCAAGTTGGAAGAATTGTTATAATGGGACAAGGAATAAGAGATCATTCATGTACCACAACAATCTCATATTTATATTGCGGGGATTATGCATTGGGGCACAAACGTACAAGAGACGCCACACGCGATATTTGCACTACTCTTCCAATTTCATTTTAACCATAAATCTCCCCCTCTTCTCAAACCTGAGGAACAAATGCCATAACGTTGAAAATGTACGTAGTCAAGTGTGCTAGTATTAATTTATGACCATCAACCGCTAACAACTTTGTACAAGGTCTCATGATTAACCCTGGGTCTGTACGCCACCCGACTACAAATAGGAACCCTATAAGGAGACTATAGTACATATATAATGAAATGTCCACAAATCTGGAATAACGTAGATAACACAAAGAGATGTATGCATGGATTGGGTATTGAATTTATTTATCCATCCTATCGTTAAGTCACACTAGTCATACTGTCACTCTCTGCTTTCACTCTGAAACAATAAGTGAACCAGAAGGTATATAGAAAAACCAATTGTTTTCTCTACCTCTGGTACACTTAACAGTAAATAACAGGCATCACATCATAAATAAGGAAGAGAGACATAAATAAAGAGGTAATAAAGAGACAATCAGTTGTGTCTGTGTGCATAAATTATGTATGCACTTCATAAAGACGAGGTTCATGAACAAACACGAGAAATTCATCTTGGAGGAATCATCGATAGCTCTTTTCTAACTTTTACTCATGCATTATTAGTCAAGTAAATCCCTCTTGGTGAAAGGAATGAATATGAATGGCCACCAAGGTGAGCAACTCCAAGTGTACGAAAAGAGAGTATTATGTGTAATGATATTGCGTTAGAAAAATATCTAACATTCTTTACTGCTCCGCACACGTGTCCCTGGCCCTGTCCTCGATCATTCTATTGAATTATCAAAATGAATATCAAGGTCCTCGTTCCCAAGTTGCACATCTGTCAACCCCTTTCGTTGCACTTTGGATGAAACTCGAAGGAAATGATGGCATATATACATATTTTACTCGCAAAGAGGACACGTTGTGTTACTCATCGCCTACACTGTATTGCATGGTTTAGATAAAGTATACAATTTTCTTAGGCAAACTTCCCAAGAAAGCTGAGACACCTGATCCCACTAGCACTATGTATCACCACCATCACGTTGAGCCATAAGCCAAGCCTACGCATAGTACATACATATTTTCATTTCCGTTCAAATGTCACAAGGCTCAGCAATTCGGTTTTGGCGTCTTCATCCCTTTCTTTCTTAGAATTAGAGGTAAGCAGTGAAGTGAAATGTTTGGACATTCATTCTTGTTGGCTTACACTCGTCTCCTGCGAAAGGCTATAACACCTTAAAATATAGACCGGGTAACAATAATACGCGTGAAGGAATGACATTTTCCCTTTCTAATGGAACTGCCAGGACAGCTACAACCGGTTGCAATTTCCTTCTCCTTGCTTGGATTGCTCAAAATCTGAGAAAGGGATATGGAAATTCTGGCTTCAGTATTCAGTCGGCCAAAATGACAAATGGTTGTAGTACAGCATGCAATGTGAAAAGCCCAACACCTTTCTGCATATATGTACCGAATGCTACCAGATCAGTCAAGCTAATAAACTGGTCCTTCGGTGTCCTTTTTGAAAAAAATTGACATTTCCGTTCTTTCTTTTCGTCTGCACATGTCGAACCCGCCTTAGGAAACCTTGTCATGGAATAACTTCTCTCAAGACGAGTTATACATTTTTGCATTGATCAAAATGCAGACTGCGATTTAAAAGACCTGACTATATGACTGATTCTATCATTGTATGAACTACTTACATGGTGCAGTAATGCTTATCTTGCTCAAGTAATAGCATGCGAGCGAACAAGTGAGTGAAAAGTAACATCAGCCGTACATGCTTCCCTTTCGTAATATTTCCCTCACTCTGTCGACAGGATATTTCTTGGTTGGTTGGTAAGGTCAAAGGGAAAAGAGACGGACGACGAGTAAGAGTTGGCGCCGATGTCACAGAAGCAGGATAACGCCAGAGGTAACCCTACTCAAACCAAGCAACCTTTCCACATCATCATGGTCGTAATCATCAATCCGAGCAAGCTAAACTAGGGCACACATTTTGTGCAGCAACGACTTACAACCAGTTACTGCGTACCAGGAAGAAAATGTAGGTTATCCATTAGCTAACTCTCTACTTTCTGCCAAAATATTCCCCATTTTTTCATTGTTTTGGTTCCACCACGTCCACCACAACTCCAGACAACGCACTTTTGGCTATCTGTCAGTTATCGACACCATGTATGTATGATGAGTAGCCCATAAAACACACACATCTTTGCTTACTATCCACACATGGACGACGTAGAGAAGACCATTTTATTTTGCGCTGTTCATCTTTACAAAATAAACTAATTACATGAATGACCTTTGTCCCAGTGCCAACTACTGCTATACATTACTCGCGTTTCCCTAAAAAAGTAACTCGCCACTCAATTAGCAGCCTGTCTGCTTCTCAATTTATAAAACAAATAAACCCTTGAAACAGCAGAGATCTACTTTCCTTGCGTCGTCGTTGCTTCAGGGAATTTGAGCAGCAGCAATTTCTTCCTTCCTCTTCACACTTTTATGTACAAACTTTTATCGGTTGGTTCACATTGATACAAAAACATGGCCTGAAACAATGAAGCTACAACTTGACACTAAACAAACTGATAACAAGAAAATTATCAGAGAGTAAATCTACTATTAAATATTGAGGACATTATAGTTACAATATACTTTTGTATTATATTTGTCAAAAAGAAAGTAATAAGAGCAATAAAATTATCATAATCATAAAATAGAATGCACAATGACGGCATATTTTTGCTATCCCCGACTCGTTGGCGTCATTCATACTATTATGAAATGTCAACCTGAATCAAATCATTTGGGACAGGTGATCCGTTTTAAAAGGACGTCAGTCGTTTCTTTATACATATCCTCTCGTTACAGGTATAGTGAAGTTAGTGTTTTCCCGTGTTGAGGAGGCAGGCCCATAGTTATCTAAAAAAAACTGTACCTTCGCCTTAAATTAAAGTTTAAGTTCGGGTACACTCTGTGCATCCTAGTGAGCGAGTTGACTTTTTCTCCTCGCCACTTACCAGTAATGTAAATGATTTTTGTCATTAAAACTTCTAATTTGCAGCTAATACAAAATGGATTGATTTCGTTTTGGTGGCAATAAATTCCCAAGTTTGTGATTTACAATTGCTATGTTGCATAAAGTCCATAATAAATCTCGGTGAAAAGTATTGGACTGAAACATGATATGAGTCCATGTTTCAGTTCAATACTTTTCTCTGAGATTTATTATAGAATTTATGCAACATGGCAATTGTAAAGCACAAACTTGGGAATTTATTGCCACCAAAACGAAATCAATCCATTTTGTATTAGCTGCAAATTAGAAGTTTTAGTCGAAATTTTTCTCCTTTTCTGGTTCGCGATGCCCCGTTTTCAGTGTGGGAACGGTCACTGTCAAAACCCAAAGCAACTTTTTACATGCAACTGCCTGCATTGTTTACATGAAAATCAGCTGCTCTCTTCGCCCCGCCCCCCCTCATTAAAAAAAAGTCTCTCAGCACACAAGGAGACGCAACAGTCGTCTCTGTCTTTTAGTTATGAGACTTTTTCAACGTATATGCACTCTTAACCAAGTGGGGGGGATAGGGTGGAAACTGGGAAGATGATTTTTAAATTGTAAAGCCTGCCTCCTCAGCACGGGAAAAAGCTCACTCCACTTTAGCATCTAACTTATAATGACCTTAATTGGCGTAACAAGATGTTCGTGGCTGGCAATATAGAGCCATAATCGTGAAGTGAATCGCACCTTTATCCTGACTGCAGCTCGTTTAGTTTATTAAGCTATTTTATTACGTTTCATTGTCTTAATGCGGCGAAGTGCAATTGTCTTGTGATGCTGCATGTTCAACTGATTCAAAATGTTCAAGGATTCTGTCGTGTTTCATGGATCAAAAGCATGTTGAGTTTGTCAGCTTTCCCCGTTAGTCAATTAACAGCTTATCAATAAACAAGATTCATCCCAAGGGCACACATCTGGGGCTAATCAACATTAATTCCCCGAATGGAATTAAAATCCTGAAGGTTGAAACCTATGAAAAAGTACTACTAACGACTGTCTTACGTATTCCGGCATAGGAATTTTCAGCGGTAATGTAGCGTCAATAGCAAAATAAACAAAGATTTTTTTCGTTCCTGGTTTATACGATAAGGACAATAATCTTTTTTGACTGTAAATTTACAGATTTTTTTGTCTGTAAATGGAGTATTAAATACATACGAACGGACGACAGAGACGACGTGGCCAATTAACGACAGAAAACAAGAAAAGTGCAACTTACTTTGACTTAGATAAATTGGGATCACTGTGTTTCCTGCGCTCTCTTGTCTGCTTCTACAATAACGAAAGCACATAGGAGTTTAGTAAATGAAGTAATTGGATTCCATATAAATACACGTATGCACATAGGGTTCAACAAATTGTCTTTCATTAAGACAGAACAGTAATGAGATTACCCACATAAATAATTATTTTTGATCTCAGATCTACATTACGTAGCAAGATGTCTTACCCGCTGTACACGTTCTTTGCAGCTTTCGGATCTGCCAACAGCTGTAGACGGTTTTTTCGGCTCGTCATGAACACTACAAGTCGAAAAGATTATTATTATATTGAACACGTTCACATTCGTAACTACTTTCATTGAGGAATTTTTTTTAACTAAATTACCTAAAAGAATCTTGGCAAATTAGGCCATACTTTAAACATAAAGCGTGATGATTGCATAAAATACTTTCGGATCTAACAAGTTGCCCTCTCGGACCAACGTATGCCCTCCACATTAGTGTTTCTGAATTAAACAAACCCTGAAAGCTTATGAATAACTAAATTCACCAAAAAAGTATTACACTTCTGTATCACTACACAATTTGGCCAATATTACCCTAATATGCCAATTCCGTCACAAAGTTTGATTACCACAATTTGACGATAAATGAAACCAAAAGGCTAGTGCCACTCTTTATGTATGAAACCCTACTATTAAGTATGTAAATAAGACGACGAGGGTGACCAATTTCATCAGATGAGTGTGGTTATAAAGAAACTTTAGTCCGCCTCAATTGCCAAAGTTTTTGGAGGAAAAGTGACTAAATGTGGCAGGAAACGGGAGGGGAAGGAAGCTTGGGTAGCATTTACAATTTTTTGTATGAATATCTTTTCTACCTACATACATACATATTTACATATGCATGTATGTATTCAATGATTACGTTCATAATAATTTCTAATTACATACAATGCGAAGAATTATTAGTTCGTGCGACTAATCTTACGCATGCCAAAATTACTGAGAATTCAACAAGATCATGTGCTTCTGGAAAATTCCCCTCGTAATAATACACCAGAAACTTGTGTAATTAAAAAGTATTTTAGGACGCATATTAATTTCAATTATCAGAAATTTTACTCACCGTTCGCTGTCGCCATCTTCAAAGGTGAATCCGTCTGGAGCTATCCTTTCTTCTGAGAGGGTATCTGGTCGTCTATCTCCTTTCAAACTACTTCCGCTTCCTCCTAACGGTTTCTCTGCTGAAAATTATACACAATTTCAAACGTGTCACATATCATCACATCATATGTTATTTTTCATTTTGACAAGTTGCATCCGTAATAGTATACACAATACTATTACAGTATTTTTATGACTTAATTGTTTAATCATAGATAGTTATTTACCGAGATACCTGATGCCTCTCACAAAAACAACCGCTAAAGAATTATCACTTGTTAACACATTCTTTCCCGGCCGAAGAATACTTACGTCGAGGGTTTATACAGTTTATAAATACGGATTTAAGTAAATAAGACTGTAAATATATTAAACATTTCTACAAAAAAACAAACTCGAAATGCAAAAGTGTTATAAGTACGTATGAATAGTATGCATTTCTTTAGATCAACATCAGAAATTCGGTTCAGGTAATGAGCGCAAAGACGTTACCTCAAGTAACTTGCAACATCAAGATGGGTGCTATGTACGTACATATACCTTATGCCAAGCAATTATAACAACGCATGTAGAATATCCTGATATACGACTAATGGATTGAAATTGGAGGGGAAAATGGAACGACTAAAAACTAAGAGTCATAAAATAAATGATAAGAAGACTTGAAAAAGATCCCCCTGTCGAGCTGCTCACTTGAAAGTAACGCCGCAAAAGGAGCCAAAGGAGGCCACCCAGCAGGAATTTGAGGCAAAGACAACTCCTTTATGTTTCTCCATCCATTTTTCTATTCCAGGGACAGAAATCTGATCTTATGAACATGAACGTTCCTACGAAGACCGCAAGAAATAAATATGTTGGAATCATTGGAGAGACTTTACCAACCATCCATCAAATCAGTCTCTTCTTGTCATCGTGAGGTATTCACTCATATGTACGCGAAAAATGATGTCTCTCTTGGAGTCAAAGAATTCCAGGTATGTTGATCCCTTAAATACAAGTGAAGACGTTGCTGCATATAAGTAAAACCCCACATGTATAAACCCCGGGGTTTATACGTGCGTAGACAAAACAGTGTGTTTTACATGACATAAATACGACCATGATTATCAAAAAGATGTATCTGATTTTTAAATGGGGCAATTATAATGCGACAAACATTGATATTTTGATACAATTAAAAACAATGGGTATAACTATACAACAAGTATCTTAGATATTTAACCGTGCTGCAAGTAATAATAAACTTACTATGGCTGTGTGCAAGGAACATTCTACTATGCAAAGAAAAATGTAACAATAGCAAACACAATGAAGACAATTCATCCTACTTCTCTCAGCTTAACTCTATTTTTTGAGTCTAAACTGGTAGAGCTAAACTCGATCCTCAGCTCAGAGGACGTAAAACAAAGTACATAAAGTCAGAGGATGCACTATGTACGTATGTATGCAGATACTGATGAGAAAAGAAAGCAGCCTGCACAACTTGGATGTCTATTTCTTCAGAAGCCGGCAATATTCTTAAGGGCAACGTGTGAGTCACAACTCAACAATGTAAAACCTACTCCAATACAATGTTTAAGACAAGACACGAGAAAAGAGCAAACAATACATGAGCACACACTTCCTAGCTTTTATTTGCGAAAGAATTGCAAGACAAATACACATGATTTCCACGTGATTCATTCCTGATTTTATGTGATTTTGGTCTGATTCAACATCTGCTTATTCTTCTTAAACTCTTAAACTCTCTCTTAAACTCTTAAATTCTTAAACTTCCTATACATATACACATATTCAAGTTACATATTCATTGACCTTTGGTATTTAGCAAAACTATTTTAGTTTCCAGTTCCAGTAAGGACGTACACTTTGTTGTGAATGTTCAGGTGAATTAATGAAAGTGTCCTGTTCACTCTTCCATTTAGACGGAAACAAACTACATACATGCAGAAGTACATACGCGTCACACGGATGAATTATAAAAGTGAAAAATAAATAAAACTAATTGAACTAACCTTTGAGACTGAGCAACTAACTGGCATAAGTACGTAAACAAGAGAGAAAGAATCTTTAATGCATACAAACCTATATAACGTACATTTCGGCTGTAGGGTATGCACATACGTTAATAAGTGCTAGAATATTTCTGGGTATCTGAATCCAACTAAGGATAAATAGAGCTACTGTTTTGCTGACACGAGAATTCTGGTGAAAGTGGACGGGATCGAGTAGGGTTGATTCTTGAGTGAGAACAATGCAACTTTATTGGTAAACGCTGATGTGAATAATTAAGCCTTGTCTCCTCAGTTGTCTCCGGCTGCACTAAATATCGTCCATCACTTCACCACTACATATATACGGTCATCATTATACATACTCTAGGAAACCACTTTTTGCACGAGAATACTGTATATTTAGAGAGCCAACGTGCTTCCATCCAGCTTAACCACTTTCAAATTCATTTAACTCTACTAAATCTACATCATCCAGCCAAAAACTTGGTCCACAAAGTAAATTATGTGGAGACGGGCAAACCCTAGACGTTGACTCTAGCAGCTACAACAAGAGATTTTCATTTCTAATCATCCATTCAAGCTCTTGGATTATGCCCTCTAACAAAGTTCATCAATCTAAATATAATTAAATTTTAATTAAAGTGAGCTACTGTCTGATGCAATAGCTCCACAAGCAATACCAAACTCTAGCACGGTGACAATCTCAAATTATACATGTATACATATTTACTGTAACATACTTATTGTTGTGAGATTTAGACAAAGATTTGCCACTCCTCCACCATTTCCAGCCTTATTCGTGTAATGAGTAGAGTACAGGTGGTTAGGGTGGTGATGTGTATGGCCCTGGCTTTGTCTCGGTTTGAGTGGGAGTGGTGGACCACTGTTTGGGTTTGACGACGAGGACAGGCCGGGTTTGGGAGGTGACGATGCCACAACTGCACCAATTACTCCCTTATCCTTCTTTCGCCCGTGAAGATGGACATGGTAAAAAGGTGGCCGCTTGCTCTTTTTGGCACCATGATTATTATCAAGTTCAGCACTAAGATCACATTCTGTCCCTCCATCCAACAATGTCATTGTTCCAGCTTTCAAGTTTAAGTCCCATGACAGGGGACGAGCCCCAGCTTTGGACAAGTTATTGCTTTGAATTAACCGACCTAGTCCTTCTTTTGGATAGGGCGGTGGTGGAGGTGGTGCCGGAACGATGGACGTATTCAGCGCAGATATCAGATCTAGTTCATCAAAGTCCATAAAATCATCGTGAGATTGAGGTGGAGGGGGCGGTGGACCCTTTTTCTGTGCCCTTAGCTGCGTTTCTGGAGGACTGAGAGCTAAGCTCAGGGCAGAAGTTCGTAACCTGCCACCCTTCGGAGGTAGTGCAGGTGGAACGTAGAAGGTTGATCGGGACAAGGACTCATCCTTTCCTCGACTGGATGACCGTGACACAGGGTTTGAATTGGAGGGAGAAGAGAGCGATGAGGATCCAGAGGAAGAAGACGTGGACAATACAGAGTTGGATTTTTTCAGTGAGGGTGGCAGTGGAAGTGGGGCTGAAACCATTATCGGGAGTGGGAGTGGAGGGCGAGGTGGTTTCGGCGGAGAAGAAGAAGACGGTCCCACGTCTTCAAAAGAGAGAAGATTTTGAGATTGGTGTGGGGGAGAGGGGGGAGTCGGGGGAAAAAGATCGGCAGGAACGTTTTGCAAACTTCTCCTTTGTAAATTTTTGAGCAAGTCATCTTTCTCCTTTGGCTTTTGCTGTTGATGTAACGCTTCATCGTGACTATTACGCTTTAAGTTAAACTTTGTGCTAGTCGGAAACTCGTAAAAATCTTCCCGACCTCCTGATATAAATGGGGCACCAGATAAATTCTGATGCTCAACAGAGTTTGATGATGAGCATGGAATTTCCCCAAACGCAAGGGATCTTCGGTTTCCAGCAGCTCCAGGATTGGCATTAAAGATGAAGGGGTTAAAATTCACAAACTGCCAATCGTCGACACATTCTTCAGTTGAACCCTTTTTGGGTGAGTTTTTACCCCTTTTTATTCTCGTTTTTAGATTATGCATTTCAGATGATGATAATGATGACGAGGCTCCAGTGTCAAGGAGGAACCGCATCACTCACTGTTTGTCACATTTTTGTTTTAAATATTTTCAAACTAATAATTTGTACTGTAGTTAATTTTAACATCACAAAACTGCTGTCTAAATTGAACTTTTCCTATTATAATTTTGCACATTTAAAACACCAATCCGTATTAAACCTTGAGTGAAGTTGAAATGACATTTTTGCTTAGAGTCTCACTGCTTCAATTCATGGAATGGCACTAGTAAGTAATGAGAGAGTGGCTAACAAGACGGCTCTATAGCACAAACCACTAATAACCATCGACCAGCATATCAAAAATTCTCAGAAGTTTTCACACTTCCTCCCATTCATTCGTGTATATAAAAAACTTGGTGATAATATGACACTCGTTTAAATAACTCCATGCAATATAACACCCCAACTGTTAAAACTCTTCTTCCAATTTAACAGACACCACATCCATAGTTGGCCGGATAAATGACACATTCAATACACAAGACATTATCACATTAAATGGCAAACATTAGTCTGTCCCATAGTAGTAAGCACAATATTTACTGTGCGACATGGGATTCAGTGATGATACTTGATATTTCTACTTTTGTTTACTTTACGCCCATAAATATAAAGAGGCCAGTCATTAATTTCTAGCCAGGCAGACAAAGTTTTATGTCTTCTTATTCACGGAGTAATTCTTTTTGCTGTTCAATCATGATTTGCTAAAAAACACAATGCAAAATATTCTATAACTAAATATAGTTACATGAGTAGAGTCATAAATACGTAGATGCATTGCTGTTTGTTTCTATCATATCCAGTTCATGAGAAGAATGAGTGTCTTTGCCCATAAATTCATAGCCAAATTTTACTATTATTTCAAATAAAGTTTAATAAAGTATTATACAGGGAACAAGTCTTATTTGAAATTAATCTTTTAGCATCTTAGTTATTAAAATTATAAGGAGCACTATTG